CCCATCCCTGGGGGTGTTGAAGGGCAGGTTGGATGGGGCTTGGAGCAGCCTGGGCTGCTGGGAGGTGTCCCTGCTCATGCAGGGGGTGCTAATCCAGGCCCCTCATCCTTCCTCTTCCTCCTTCCCCCACCAGATCTCCCCACATCTGCTGTTCTGCCTCAAGTTATTGCCCATCAAACCACTCTCAACAAGGTGCTGCCCAACTCTGGGATCAGTTTTTACCCCCAGTTGCTACACGAGTTGCTCCAGAGTCACCTTTTCACTCATTTACAATTTATAAGTACATAAATTAATTTATACAAATGTAATTTATAATTATATAAATTCATTTCTACTTTATGCATTAACAAATGATTATCTGGAGAAGCCAAGTGGCTTCATTGCCCTGAATAACTGATGGAACATCCTCCATCATTTATGGAAAACAAGGGATGAAATCCAGGCAGGCTGGGAAGGGGAGTCAATCCCACAGCCACACTGCACCCTCCCCCCCTGACAATGTATGTAATTAATTAATTAACTCAATTTATATGATTATAGGTAAGACTCTTTATTTCTGAAGTCACTGAAAAGCTTCAGTTTTACTTCCTCATTGGTGAGAAAAGGTTCATTTCTTTAAGCAATTCTGTCCCTTCAGCTTGGACCAAACCTGAAGTGAATTAATTGTGACATTTAATGTGACTGATTCTGGCAGAAGGACCAAGGCAGGACTGAGGCAGAGCTGAAGGCCCCTCAAGGGCTCAGAGCTTCTCCTCTGCACCACAGCATGAGGCTTTGGACCCTGAACTGTCACCTTCCTGCCTGCTCTGATGGCATCTTTGGGGACATGGGTGGCCTTGGCAGGGTTGGGGCAACTGAGGGTCCTAAAGGGCTTTTCCCACCCAGATGATCCCATGGGCCTGTCCCCTGTCCTTGAAGCTGCCCAGCCTGCAGCTCCTCATCCCTCTTCCTCCTCCTGAAGGGCCCCACTGCTCCTCAGCCCCTCCAGAGGACTCAGCAAAGCTCCCTCCATGAAGCTCAGCTCCCACAGGTGCCACCTGCTCAGAGAACAACCTGGGAATGCTGAGAAAAAGGCCCAGGAACAAACTGGGGAGGGGGTTTCCAAGAACCCAGGCCCAGCAGGATGGCACCACAGCTTGAGCCTGGTGAGAGGGCAAGAAGAGCTGATGGTGTCACACAGGGTCCATGTCCACCCACCCCTGGAACACTCCAAGGCTTTTCTGATCCATCCCAGGGGTTTTAAACCCTTGATGTGGAGCAGGAGCTCCAGAGGAACTTACACTGTTGACTTTCCTCTTGATGTTCTCCAGGAGATGCTCCTGGCCTCGGATGAAGTAGGGATGCTGGAACTCAGTGTCATCCTTCTCAGGCTTCACCAGCCCCCCCTGCTCAATGTGCACCACCTTCCGAAAGCCATCTGGGGAGAGGGGGGAGAGAGAAGCTCAGTGGGCTGGGGCTGGGCTTGAGGCAGCAGAAACTCACTCAGAACATCCCTCTTGGCTCAGACACCCTGAGCTCCAGCCCTGCTTCCTGACAGGCCTTGGCCCAGCTACAGGACAAGGAGTGAGAGACCCTGGAGTCACCTGGAAAACACTTGCTGCTGCAGGACCAGGTTATCGTGGAGCCATAGGATGGGTTGGGGGGACCTCAAAGCCCACCCAGTGCCCCCCTGCATGGGCAGGGACACCTCCCAGCAGCCCAGGCTGCTCCAAGCCCCATCCAACCTGCCCTTCAA